GTTATACCACCCATAACAACATCAGTATGTCCATTCATGTATTTTGTTAATGAGTAGCAAACTAAATCAGCTCCTAACTCAAGCGGCCTTTGGAAATAAGAGGTCAGGAATGTATTGTCTACCGCAACAATTATGTTTCCTTTTTCATGGCATATTTTGGCAATGGCTTCGATATCCGCAACTTTGATTAGTGGGTTTGTCGGCGATTCTATCCAAACGAGCTGCAAAGATAGTTATAATTAAGTATTTACTAGTGTTTATTATCAAAAACATCTAAAGTAAGTTACGCAAACACGATGTAATTAATTGCGGGATTACGTTTATAAATAATTTTATTTATTTATATACTTATTTTATTTTACTTTATACACTGAACCTAATGAAATGGGTAAAAACACAGGTAGAATGAAACATCTTGGATCCTATAAAGTATATATATGTATATATTCGCATGCATGAACGCGTCGATGTCAGAACATATAATAGCTTGAGACTTGCAATTTCCAAGGTTGGTTCTCCTAGTGCCCGCACAGTATGATTCAGAAAATCGATAAATTGCCCCGTGTCCAAAAAATTGAGAAAAATTGAAATCTAAAGGCTCTAGATATTAAGATCTTGAGCACTAACCATACAATGCATAGACATGTCAAACAGCAGAATGATCATATCCCGATATATCGTCAACGAGGGAACCCCAAGGGTTCCTGCGACCATTTTAGTGTGCCCAGATAGAGTAAAACTGCTGAGAGTGGCAGCCAAAAGTCCGGCCTCAAAAGGCGAACGTTCAGTATAAAGCCGCATCTCGCTCAGCGCACAACGTCGCTGCGGCTGATGCTATTTTTTAATATATGAATGTTAGTTTTAAATCCTTACAGCCAAAATTGTACAGAGTTTGCCTCGCTCCCACTCATTGCTTTGCGCGCTTTTGAACATCTCTTTCTCCCTGCATAGCTTCTCAAAAAGACCGAGATCTACAAACATATTTATGTTTGTGTTGTGTGGATGTGCGCACAAGTAGATCACGGCGTTTGTCGCGAGCCAGACGCTTCAAACGCTCTATCATGTATTTCTTGGTCTAGTCAGGCATAATGAGAAGAATCTGATCTTTTTCTATTTAATAAAAACTTGAATGACCTAAATGAAATATTTATAGTTTATATTCTAATTTTATTGTTTACTGTGGGGACCTATTTAGCTTAAAATAAAAAAAAACTAAGTCATATTTCTGCAAGGGTAATATATCGTCGGCATGACAAAGATTTCTAAGAAAAGACCAAAAATTGAAATGTTAAATTTTTGCGACATGCTACTTGTGCACTCGCACACTCTTTCGAGGAAGCAGTCGTGTGATATTATAAAAGGGTTTGGCCTGTTCATGTTTAAAATTGCTATCTTCCATGCTTGTTGTAAGGGTTTTTTTTTAATAGATTCAGTTTCTCAAAATATATATGAATTACCTTTGTCTCCAATTTAAAGGCAGATTTAAGATTGTCCAAATTAGAAGCATCAACAAAAGTTGCGGATATTCCCAAACGTGATGCAACTTGCCTGATTGTAACAAACTAATTGTGTTTATTGTTATGCACAACTTGTGACAGTTAAATCTTACCTTATCAGTCGATTTGTCCCACCATACACATCATCTCCCATTATAATGTGATCTCCGCTGTTGAGCATTGTAAGGACAGCAGTAGTTGCGCCGAGCCCAGATGAAAAAGTTAAGCCATATTTTGCATTGTCCAGTGCTGCTAAGCAATTCTCTAACACATTTCGAGTGGGATTACCACTTCTCGAGTACTCATAACCCTATAAAAAATTTGATAAAATAAATATTATGTAAAATGTTCTTAAATTTAGATTCTGAAGTTAATAAAAGGGTTCAAATGCTTAAGTTGAGATTATTTGTGTTGAGGAACAGATCTATTTCAATGTGTAACCATTAGATTAATTTCTTTCTGACCTATGTAAATCTCATGCAATTTTGTATGCAGATCTTTACGGAAGCACCGATGGCGGTCTATTAAATTAAAAACCATAAAATTAAAGGATTAAAGGAAATTCTTACATTCTTGCTTCATTATGGTCAGCACCCCCTAGCCGTGGATCGAGTTCGAAAGGATTAGCGATAGCATGTGTCTGTATGACACGATTGAAGTATATATACCAGCGACAATGCAGAGTTCTTCGCTCTGTTTCCGTTTAATGCAGCAAAAACCATAACGGCGCACGGTGCGTTGCCAAAGTTGCCGATGACATCATTTGGTGGTGATAACAAGAAGGGGTCACTTTTCAAGATTTGTTTGAAACCACTATCCACAATAAACAACATTTGATAAGAACTCAAACTTGCATTATTTGAAGTATTTTTCGTCTAATGAAGCAGCCCGCTTAATATATCATTTGTCAAGTACAGACGCGGTATTTAATACTGCATGGGAACGCCTAATTGAGCGATACAACCGACTACCTCCAGTCGATAACTCAATGCCACTTCCTGTCGATAGCATTGTTGCCGAAGGTGGCAGATAGTGCAAGCGAGGCAAACAGGACGCGACTGCTGGATAACGTATTTCGGCTTGCAAAAATAGATCTAAACTTAACAATTGATGATTTGTTCCAGTTCCCGAATCCTACTTTCGGGAATTTCATTGGTAAGAGCTGAAGCCACACGGGGTTTGAGTAAGCTGCACTTGAAATCACAGGTGTCAAACGACACACGAGAAGAAGCTTGACGGACATGGTGATTTAATTCCCACTCCAAAAATTCTGCGAGTTAGAAGACACCAATGCTGGCCTACCACCAGATACCGAATATTTCAAGGTGGAAGAACATTTTCGTGATATACAGTCAAGAGATTCCAAGGGTGGGATATCTTCAAGCATGAGATGAACAGATACAACTTATATCACAAGCACAGGTCAAACTGGTGTAGCTAGGTTTGTTCACTTAAGTGAGAGCAACAGTTGTTATCGCTACTCACGACTTTATTCTTCTGTTCTCTACATTTGGTTTTCATTATTACTTAACCTAAGGCTGAGCAGTCCTCAGGGGCAGCGATGCCTTTTGTATATAAGTCGTTTTATATATTACTTATAAACGAGTATAAATATATTATGTATAAGCGGCGGAAAAGTCGCTGGTGGGACAGAGCGTATTGTGCACGTATGTAAGCGGTCAATGCATGGGACTAATGCTGACGCGGCTTGTTTGTAGTCAAGGCATTCTGTGCCGATCATATTTCGGGCACTTGGACTGCAATTGAACATGACATATGTTTATGCAACAAAGAATAAATGTCTTTGCCTTTTTAGCATTTATGTTTATGAGTATATATGAAGTACATACTGGATATATTGCTCAGTACAGTAAGTTCTCGATATGTGCACACTACACTGGGAAAATGAGTTTCAAACAACAAAAATACATTGACACATTGGTAAGCCCATCTCAGCACTCTGGAATACAGCATGAATTTGAGGAAGTTAGCAGACAGCACAAAACGACAGTTACTCTCTGATTTTTGATTCGCTTGGTCTGTAGGACTGTTTTTAGTTCAAGAATTTATTTCAAGAGCTTTTAGTTGTCCTTCTTCTGATATTCAAGTTTATATGAAACATATTTCTTGTATTAAAGAAGTTTCTTCACACGTGCGTGATAATGACCTATTTATTGTGTTGGGTGATTTTAATTTGCCGAACATCTCTTGGTAACTTTTCACTGCCGAAAATTATCTAGTGCCCTCAGAACAGCATGACTTTATAGATTGCATGCTTGACCTTTCGTTGTTTGAAATCAATTCAATTTCTAATCATTTGAATAGAACACTGGATCTTGTATTTGTTAACGACTACCTTACTTCTGATGTGTCTTGGTTCCCTCCTTTATCTCTTCCTGAGGATGTATACCACCCTACTTAAGAGGTTGCAATGTTCAATTGTAATCCTCTCATTTCGTGCTCATCAGCCAATAAGCCCGCCATTGCTTTCGCAAAGGAAATTATTCATTGCTGAATCAATTTATTTTGCAACCGATTGGTCTTTCTTATATGACTCGGTTGACATGAATACTGCTATTTATTTTTTTTATAACACCCTAAACTTCCTCTTAGATATGTGTATTCCCAAGTTTCTTAACCAATCTTAATGAAATTTTCGACAGTACATCTTATTGTAGAATAGAATATAGAATATTTGTGTATTCTCAATTCAATTGCATAATTGTAGCTTAAATTGATTGGCAATACAAGTTGGATAATTAACTTGATTTATAGCTTTAAGGTGGTAGCGGGGAGGTGGCGATAGGTATAAAATGAAAGATATTTGATATATATATACTATTCAAGTTTGGTGACTCTAGCTCATATTTTTTACGACTTTTCCCAAAAAACAGGATTTCGATATCGATTTTTATCGATTACTTGGAAACGGGGTAAGCTATCGAATATCGGAAACAAACTCGATCTGCGCGGGCACTGGGAGGACCAACAGCTAAAATTTCAAGTCTCTAGCTCTTATAGATTCTGAGATCCTTGCGTTCATGCATACGGACAGACGGACGGACGGACAAACAGACGGACATGGCTAGATCGACTCGGCTATTGATGCTGATCAAGAATATATATATATTTTATAGGGTCGGAGATGCTTCCTTCTGCCTGTTACATACATTTGCACAAATACATAACACCCTTTTTACCCATTTTTAATGGGTTCAGGGTATAAAAACAACTGCGCTGCGTCTACTTTGCTATTTGACTTCATATCATTTGACTGTTCAATGCAAATGCTGCAAAATGAAGTTACAACAAATTTTATCGGAATGTGAAAGCGCAAATGACTAACCCAAAAATGATGTCACAATCTCAGTGACAACGTCAAATTATAGAAGATGAGTCGCAACTTTAATAGTGGTATTATTAAGAATGGCATCACCGACAGAGCAAACATCGGTTATAGTACCAGCGCTAAAAAACAATAAAGATTTTGTTGATATGGACGGCATAATGGCAGAATAGTGGACAATACAGATATGAAGCAGCATTTAGACACTAGCGAAAATTTTTACGTGATTAACATCGAATAAATTAGAGTTACGAATGGACAAAGGCGAATTATTAGGATGAGGTATCAAATATTTGGGTTTCCTTATTTCTAAAAAATTATATTCAGGCAAATGAAAAGGGAATAGAAGCGGAAAAAATGATTCTTACACAGGGTAAAGTGTATATATTTCCGTAGATTTTTAAGCGGAAACAATTGCTAAGCCATTTTCCGATTTAATAAAGAGTATAAATAATTTTGTTAAAAATAATAGAATTTTCCAACACTTATTTTAGCAATTTATGATCATGGGCATGACACTAAAATAGATAGTGACATCAGCTCTTTAGAGGTTGGTGTCGTGTTAGTACATAAAAAAGACGATGGAAAACTTCATCCGGGTTTTTATTTCTTAAGGCGTACTACAGAAGTGGAAAACAAGTACCGTAGGTTTTAAGTAGAAACTTTGGCAATGGATAAAAAGGGTATACTATTTTTGTGTAAATGTATGTAACAGGCAAAAGAAGCCATCCCCGACCCCAGAAAGTATATATATTCTTAATCAACATTAATAGCCGAGTCGAAAGGATTAATAAAAGGATTTCATAACCTATAAGAGCCAGAGACTTTTTGATATATTGAAAGTTAGTTCTCTTAGTGCCCGTGGGTTTGTTTCCGATAATCTATTACGTGCCCCAGAAAACGAAATCGGTACCCTTGCGCTCTCACAGCTTAAAGAGCGAAAATAGGGCCGAGGCAATTATGTTTGCATGTGTGTGTCTATACATACACCAAAGCATATTAGTAAGTGTTATTATTCCGTACAAATTCGCAAATTCGGCAAACAATTAAGTTCGTTGGTTCGCACCAATTCCGCATTTCCACAGACGACATAATATCAATATCGCCAACGCCAACGAATTTTTAAGTTTTGTCGGATTTGCTTCAAACTTATTTTCAAAGCTCTACACAAGAACCTAATGAATACGTGTTTCAGCGATTTGGGAAATTTCACCCGCAGCAGTGGTTAATTGTCGGAAACCATTTTATTTTCTTGGTTGGCAAATGCGGGTCAAAGGTTTGATAAACGAAAGTTTATTCTTAATTTTCAAGATTTTCACCGCAAGAATATGGGCGGAAACCATTGGTTCCAACACTTGGTTCTTTATTCGATGCAGTTAAAACATATTTTTAAATAGAAGTTCCCCACTTCTGAAGATGGGTAAATTTCAATATTCCACGGGCGTGTACTTAGTGGAAAGGTATTATATAAAACTTTTAGCGAAAAAAGAAACGACCCTAAGGGCAATACACGCTAGTATATATAGTATATACATATAGATAAACATTTTTACATCAATTTAAGTACCGCGAATATCAATATGTCAATACACATATTAATATGACTGAATAAAGATAGCAACATCTATTGCGTACGTATTAGGTTATTTGCCCAAAATAATAATTTGTATATTAGCTAACATACATATCTAAAACAACTAATTCAACACTGGAACATACATACATATGTATGCACATAAATATGTACATATGTATGTATGTATGTATAATGAATGGTTTCACAACGGTCTCATTAAACTATGATTTGTTTTTTTCTTTATTTTTGTTCGAGTAGCTGGAGTACGCGTTTACAATGATCATGTCTATATAAAACTTAATAGACAGCCATGCATAATTTTATGTATGTGGACGTGTCTAACTTACACGGTGCTCTCCTGGCGAATCCTGTTTGAAAGTAGTACTCAATGATATGGGAGGTATGACACATGCACTTTTCCACTGCTCCGGATCCTGACCGGCGTGGATTGATTTTGTAGCAAAGCCTTTTGGCTGAATCTTAAAACTCATTTTCAATAAATAAATTTCAATGGATACGCACGCGACAAAGTCTTGTCAATCACTGTTTAAAAGAACATGGTTTTTCTGTTCTAACTAATATTGATTATAGCCCATTCACACTAGAAAGTAATTATGGAACGAAGGGAATACATATGGATATACTTATAATACCATTAGGGATTCCATACACTTTTCGCATTCTTTTAGATACGTTCTTTTTTTCCTGTTTAAAAATGATTCAATTTTTACAAAAAACTAAGGATTCAAAAATTTATAGGGAACTAGCGGGTTTTACTCGACTTTGTCCGTGGCATGTTTTGTTCTTAAAATTCTTTATATTACTTTTTCACCAGTTTCTCTCCGGTAAAATATAGGACTCAACTTCTATTTTAGAATATGTTTAAATTCCATCGAATAAAGAACCAAATGTTGGAATCAAAGAAACTTTAAATACATTTTCATAAAGATCTGTGAAATTAAGTTTGAAGCCGATCGGATGGTAAAAAAAAAAACTTTCATATAACCATTTTTTGGCAATTTACCATGGTTGCGAATGAAACTTCCAAGTTTGCTGAAACAGGTATTCATTAAGTTTTTATTTAGGGATTTGAAAAATGGTTTGTGGCAAATCGGCCTACATCTGACAAAAACTGTAAAACACGTCTCAAATTAATTTTCTTAAAGATCTTTGCAAATGAGCTTCCACTGACAAACTTTGCCCATTCA